TGGTGGGTCATATGTCACACACCAGGGAGGGGGGGCACAGGGACCCCTAAAGCCTCCCCAGCCGCATTCCCATCGCATTCCCGCAGCCAGGAGCCTTTTGATAAACATGCTAACCCTTAAAAACAAATTAAGAAATACCCCCGAAATGAGATGTTTGACTCTCTGGATCAAGCTTCCACATTTTAGGGAGCGCTGGGATGAATCCGGCTCGGCTGAGGTTATCCTGGTCCTTGATCCCAGCAGGGTAAGACCTCGAAGATGAGCGGGATTAGATGCTGGAGGAGGAGGAGGAAGGGGGAGGAATTAATCCCTCCTCGCCCTCATCTCCCCCTGTAAATCCAGTCTGGCTGCCGGGATCGCAGGATCCAGCCTCAGGGAGCGATGCTGAGGGATCAACCCGGACAGATCCCACCAGGATCGCACCTGTGCCTGGTGGCAATCTCACCTCCTGGTCCATCCGATGCATCCCTCGGCTCCAGGCAGAGGGTCTTTGGGAAAACTCACCGTTTTTGGGGGGATTTGTCCTATTTTGAGCACTGGGAACAGGCAGGGTGGCTTGTCCTCCTCTTCCTCCTGGGGCTCATCCACATCCAGCCTCCAGCGGTCCAAGACTTTGGCATCTCCATGGGGAAGGAAACGAGCCTCATGAAAGTAATCAGTCAAACATCTCCCACAGTAACAACCTCTGGAATGAAGCCGCAGTGGAAAAATCCCAGAAGAACCTCCCTATCCCTCCAGAATTCCCTCTCTTTGAGGAGGAGAAAGACATTTTCCAAAGCCCATCCACGTTTCCTTGATTTTATTAGGATTGCCACATTCATCATGTCACAACGTCACTGATTGATGAGCTTTAGAACGGGAAGTGCCAGCGCCAGCCAGCGGTGATGGGGCTTCGATAGGAACATGTGTCCTTCCCTCCTTATCCCTCCCAACCCTCCCTATCCCAATCCCCGATTCTCACAGCTTTGATTGTATCCATAAAACATGGTTTGACAGAAAAACAATGTGGTTTTCCCAGCTGCCAGGTTCTTCTCACCCAAGAGGTTGAGAACTCAAAAAACCAACCCCAAAATCAAACCCAGTGCTCCAAAAGGAAAATAAAAAAGGCCAGGAATTCTTTTAATGGTATAAAATAAGAGTGGATATGGCAACGCTACGAGGAAAAGTGGGATACATCACGGAAACCAAAGTCTTTTTGCAGGCAACACTGTTTGGAGAGAGGAGAACACTTGATGGTGACAAAAGTGAAGTTCTAAATTATATACAACAGGATCTAAGGGTGGATTTGAGGAACAGTCTCCATGGAGGTGAGTCAAGGTTCAACTTGCCCTTGTCTATTGCTTCGTTATCCAGATCCATAATAACACTTAAGAAGGAGACGGATGCGTAAAAATGGGACACGTGGAATAAAGAACCCCCCCAAAAAAACTCAGTTTTCCATATGAAAACGCCACGTCTACGTGCTTGTCCCATGTGGAATGTACCTACAGTTGTTTCACAGGCCGGGGGCTTCTCCTCCGGGAGGAAAAGCATCCGGAGAGGCGGGATACGCTTGCTTGCTGGGGGTGAGCCGATGGTAAGCGCCCTCCCCCCCGCAAGCTTCTTGTCATCCCAAAACTCGTTTCCAGGTGGAAAAGTCCCGATTTGCCCGGGATCTGGAAGCGTCTGGTAGTGGGATGGAAAACAGCGGCCGAAAGCCCGAATCCTTATGAAGGATGAGAGTCAGTTGTTAAATTTTAAGGGATATCCGATGGCTTTTTCCAGGCACTCTACCAACGAGCCGGCGGAAAGAAAATCCCTCTCCACTTCCACAAATTTGATGTAGATGGATTTGGGGGAGACGCCGGGCTCGACGAGGCAGTTCTGAGATAAAAAGGCGTTGATCCCGACCCAATCTTTGCTGAAGGTTTTGGTGTTTGCCTGGAAGTGTAAAAACAGGCACTGCTGGAGAGTCCGGACCTCGGCGATGCCGAGGTAACAGTAGATAATCCGGGCGGATTCCACGTCCACCCGGAGCGAGGCTTGTGGAGAAGGAACCTCCAGCTCACCTTGAGTCTCAGTGCCGGGATCAGGCGCCCTGTGCTCGGTAGGAGAGGAAGGAGGTTTCTCATGGCACTCTTCATATCCAATAGCGTACAATCCAGGGCTTTTGGGAATCCCTCCCGGTAACAAATACTGGACGACGTTCCCTCCGGTGGGTTTGGAGTGAGCGATGGGGATCCAGTCGATCTCCATGTGGAGCTCCAGGCACCTGGCTTCGCTGATGGTGATCTCCAGGAATTTGTAATAGACGTTTTTCCAGTTCATTTTCTGCACTCTGGTCATGATCACTCGACCCTCCGGCTTTTCCGAGTTGAAGTATTCCCGGAGCCGCTTCCCAAGGGGTACCTGGGAGCTGATCTCCGCGTAGTGGTAGCGGATGTCCTCCTTCCAGCGGGTGTTGTACCCGATGCCGAAAATGGCCAGTTTGTTGGAAAGGTGGAGCCTGGAGAAGTCCGTCCAGCTCTGGAACAGCTCCCACTTCAACTGGACCGACTCCAAGATTTGCATAATGTTCTGCATGACGTCGCGCTTCCTGGGAATTACAAAACATGGAGAGAAGGAGAAAGGCATCAGTAAACCGGAGCAGCAAAACCATCCCGGCCAACGCACCGACCTCTGGGAATGTTTATCACTGTTTCAGGGCCACGTCGGATAGGGCTTGCAGCAACCTGGTCTTAGGTTGGCTTGGAAGAGACCATTCAACTTTGGAATGAAGACTTCAGGGTCTTTCATAGAATCCCAGATGGATTTTGGGTTGGAAAAGACCTTAAAGCTCATCCAGTTCCAACCCCCTGCCACAGGCAGGGACACCTTCCACTAGAGCAGGTTGCTCCAAGCCCCTGTGTCCAACCTGGCCTTGAACACTGCCAGGGATGGGGCAGCCACAGCTTCTCTGGTTCTGCAGGTTTGGGGTCGGTTGACAGCAACAGCAGCCTCACACGTGTGTTTGATCAGGAAAAGAAGAGCCAGGACAAACTGCAGCACCCAGAGAGCTCAGTGATACCTCTCCTACAGCAAACACCTTGGTGACGCTCTCCCATCCTCTCTGCTAGGAAAAGAATGTTGGTGCACATCAGCAGCTGTGGATTTCTGCCTTTGCAAGCACAAATTCACCTTCTGAAGAGAAGACAGACAAAGGGGACAAGGCAGAGAAGGGAACAGGTAGCGCAGAGAGCGTGTTTTGCTGCTGTTCTACACTCATCTGACTCAAGACAGACAGCTGAACTGAACTGAAAGCAAGCAGTCCCATCCAAAGCCAGCGACAGGAGAAAGCAGCGTGGGTAGATTTTCAGTCAACAGCAGAGGAACGGAGCTAAAAACCCAAAAGAAAAGCTCCCACCTTTATTAATGACACCAGAAATACTCTGGCTAAGTTTAGCTCAGCACAGAATAGAGCTGCTGGGGGAATAAAACGATTAGTCACTCATCAAACTGCTGAGAAGAGGAAGGATTTCACTAGAGGTGATCTCCAGCAGCACGGTGCAGGAGAAAAGGGCTTTCCACAGAGGGAATCATCACTTGGAGTACGGAGGAATAGTGGAAAGACATTTGAAAACACTCTGCTTTTTGGGTTTGGAGTCTTCTCTTCCCACTCACACCAGGACTCTGCTTGGTGGCTGCCCTGCTGAGCGGGAGATCTACCTCCACGCCGTGGCCAAGCAGAGCTATTGGAAGCATTAAGAGTCAATTTCTTGCCATTATCTATTTCCCAGCAGGAAATTGCCCTGGAGCTGGCTTTGTATCATCAAACCTCGACCTCCCTTGCTGGCCTCTGGCCATCTGCTCGGCTTCTCCTTGGAAGCATTTGGAATGCGAATGTGGGAAGACACCAGAGACAAGACATGGTGTAAATTTGTTCTAAAGGCTGTTTCCAAACAAAAGCAGACATCAAAGCAGCTGCAACAGCTGGTTTCAGTGAAGGACCCAGCTCCCCACGCTTCTGGTTCATCTTCACAAAGCCCACAGTGAATAAAAAGCCTCCTCAAATCAATCTGAAGTAGCAGAACCGAGCTTGAAGCAACATTTCACTTTGCAGTTTACTTGAAGGCAGCAGTGTGCCAAAGGGAGGCAACAAGAGAACTGATGTGGGGAATGAACATCCCAGCTGATGGAGCACAGGACCTGGACACAGCTTTCCTATTGCTGTTTGCTTCCTACACTGCTGAAAAACAGGGAACCCAGGAAATACGGGAAGCTTTATAAGTTTGGAGGCCAGTTATTTACCACCTGAAGCTAAGAGAAGCAGTGCTGTCCTTAGAGATCGACTGCATTAGGTTTGTAGGTGCAGGATCAGGTCCTGGTGCTCACCAAGCTGGGGGGAGCAGCTGAACCCCAGCAAGATAGGGAGTTCCCTCTGGTTCTTCAGGCTGCTTAGCTCCAAAAGCTTCCAAACCCCTCACAAAAACCCAGGGGAAGGGAAAGCAGGAAGCAAAGCCAAGATCTACAACTACCTGAAAGGAGGATGGAGCCAGGAGGGGGCTAAACTCAGGGTTGAGAAGTTCCTCGGCCTCACAGAAGGGGGAAAAGAAGTTTTGAGTAAGTCTCTGCGTTGGAAGATGTTGGGAAATTCAGGATTATTTCCCCTGCAGCTCCCTAAAGCACTCCTTGAAAGGCAAAATCATCCCTGAACAATCCAATGCTGTGGAAGCTTCTTTTCTATTGTTATTTTAATTTTGTTAAGGTTTTAGAGGATTTTTTTCATTTAATTCCAATAAAAAGCCTCTGTTCTGTCACCACTCAGGGACACGGTGTTAATGCACCCAGTGCTGATGACTTTCCACCCTGCAGAAGCTCATCTTCCAGCACAGGAAACACCACAGTGACTTCAGATGACACTACAAACTACTGGTGGGGAGCTCAGAACCCACCCAGGAGGGTCTACAAGCCAATTTGTGATGGCTGCAGACATATCTACCACCACCGCAGGGGTTTTACAACCCTGAAGGTCAGAAGAAAGTAAAGTCTGAGTAAATACAGCCCAATTCCTTTCATTTTTGAAAGGCTCTACGTTATTGTTGGCGAGGCGAGGGAGATTTGCCTGCTCCAAGCATTCCAAATGCTCCAGATTAAACTGATCCAACAAGGTTATAAGTCAGCTCCGGAAAGTTATAAAAATAAGTTAAAAGTATATATATAAATCCCAAGTTTTGGCATGCCTTCCCAGTGAGGGGAAGCAGGAACTTTTCTTGCAAGCATTACTCACACCAAGCCAGCAGCACACAACTACAGGGGTGCTGTGTCCCTCTTCTCCCTCTTCCTTTATTTTCTCCTATGTCCAAAGGGGCAAACTTAAGGCAAACGGGGAAGAAAAAACCCACAACCCCAAAACACCAAGATTACAAATTGATCTGAGAATTAAGCCTTGTGTCATGATATAAGCCTGCCCTCACACACCTCTAATGAATCCGACACGGATTTAACCCCCATTTGAAGCCCTTGGCATTCATGTAGCAAGTCTTGATTCAGCCTCTGACTGGCCAAGCCAAGAAGAAAGAAGAGCTGTGAAGCTTTTCAGATGTTCTGAGGTAACTGGCATCATGCAGAAAGCAGCTTCAACTGTATGAATAGTCTTGCACAATGGATTTATAATCATAATCAGAAGGTTCCAGTCTCCTCCCCTCCTGCACAACATCCCCACAGAAACACATTCCAGGGTAAAACATTCAGAAGTTACTTACTGTGCATCTTCAGAAGATTCCTGCTTTATCTTTAATGTTCTTTTGGTGGTAGGGATTTCATCTGAAAGGTAAAATTCCAACAGATAATTGTATTTCAGATCGTATTCCTGAGGTTTCTTTAAAGAAAGGAGGTTGAAATGAAATAGTAAGTAATAAGTAAATCCAGAGTTGCTTCTGAGCCCAGCAGCCCACTAGAGCTCTGCATGACACAGCTCCAGCTCCTAAATACTCCAAATCAATGGGATTTTTTATTTCCATTGGAATGGATGTGGTCAATTAAGATCTGAATCTATCTCTGCAAGTGCAAAACCTCTCAAGGACAAGACCACAATTCCTACTATTAAATCAACTGAATTGCAAACTCCATTGTTAAAAAGGAGGGGGAAAAAAAGAAAGAGAAAAAGGCTGTTTTGCTTCCAAAATGCATCTGTATTCCATTTAGATGTTGTGTGCTATGTGCTTTTCTCACAACTGCTCTGAACATTCCTTCAAAGCTTCCTAATCCATCAGTGCCCTGACCACGGATGGGGCCAGGTATGTGACTGCGTCTCCTCTTCCTGTCTCATCCTACAAATCATGAGGGGAAGAAACCAACCAGTTCATGGCACCATCAGCTTTTATCCAACTCACCTTCTAACTGCTGCTTCTCTTGGATCCCCACTGAATTTACTCAGTTAAAGTTTCTGCCATGAAAACAACCCCTGTTAAAATAGCCCCATAAGATCAGTGGCTCAAGAGATAGAAATATGCTCCAAGAAACCCACTTCTTCACCAAATTGCTCAGATCAGGGTGTGTTTTGTACCAACAACATGGTACCTTGCTCTGTTTAACCATGTTGAATAAACCACAAGCAACGAGCAAATCCCCAAATTCATCAATATATTGATTCTTATGCAGAAACAGCAAAAATTCGGGCAAGGAAAGCACGTGGAGGGGTTCAAATCCTGCAGTTTGAGCTTGCACCCAGGTTCAGCTGGGTATCAGTGAAAGGGAAAACATCTCCCTATATCCCACGAGGGGGAGCAAAACCAAGCAGGGGAAGGAGAATGTATTGCCTTGTCCTCCACCATTTCTGGCCACACAACCGTCCTTTCCCTCTGCTAGGCTCTTTAAACTCAAGTCCCACTCCCAAAATACTTCAGGAACCACGGTTTGCTTTTAACTGGGGAATTTCTTTCCCTTTTCTCCCCCAGGACATCGGTGTTTCACATCTTCAGTGTGTGATGTCCAAAACATGGAAGCTGGTACTGAGCCAGGTTAAGTGAGAGATCAGCATGAGCACAGAGCACAAGTAAAACCTAGAGGATGGAGATGCACCAGGATGGGGTTTCTTACCCAATTCCTGTTCACCAGTCTGGTAACAATGAAGATCCTGACTGTGGTTTCCCCAGTCCTCCTGTGAAAACTCCTCCATCGTGCTGCTGTCTGACTCCAGCTCCTGGTACAAGCCGCTGCTGTTGATGAGGACAGGCTGGCAGGGCTGGGAATCCCATCCTCCTTGCCCAAAGACCTGCTCCAGCTGCTCAAACGTGTAGCTGCTTTTCCTCTTCCCGACACCATGCTCCTTCACACGGCTGTAGCACCTACGCAGGGTCTGAGACAGAAGAAGGCAGGTTCACCACGCAGCAGTGGGCTGGGAAAGCACACATTCACTTACAGACAGCTACACAGCTGCTACAGGCAGAGATATGGGTTGGTTTTGGGGATTTCTATTATTTCTGCTGATCAGTATTTGCCCTAAATGCAATGTTCCCAATTTAATCTACACCCATCACATGTATCCGACATTCCCGCTGCAGCGATTTAGCATTAACATCTACGACACAGGACAAAGTTGCATAGCAGCTACAGGCTCATCAGATTTAACTTGAGTGATTTAACCTCTTCCCCACTTCAAAAACAAAGAAAAGAATTCCCAGATCTGCCGTGAAACGTAGGGAAAACCACTATAAATACCAAGAGACCCCCAGTCAGAGACACCAACCAGCCAGGAAAACGCACACCTACTACGAGGAGGAGAAAGCAGAGCTGGTGTTGGGCCCCCAGCATGGAGAAGGTGCAGCAGGGAGGAGAGAGGAAGGGCAAGAGAAAGAAGAGTCCCCCAAAGCAAAGATGGTCCAACCTTCCTCACTCTGGTAAGAAGATACGAGGTACGAAATGTATATGCCTAAGCTATTCAGCTAGGAAAGTGTTTATTACTTACATATTCTGCATTCCTTACTAACTCACTCTGCCTCTTGTGAAGCTGCTGAAATTTAAAAGAGGTCAAATCAATAATGCTCCCCATGGCCAGACTTTGATAGCAAGCATTAAGCACGAAACAATGCTAACGTGGCTCTAAGAAGACTTTAAAACCAGCACTGAGGCCAAAACCTCCCACATGGACCGATGCAAACTCTTCATCTACTTTTGGTGTTCCCTTCAGCATTCCGATGGCTGGGCTGGTGTTTGAGTGCCAGCAAGGCAAAGCTGGAGAACTCTACCATTTTCCATCCACATTCACCCCTTAATCCAGAGCAACACACAACTATTTGGTGATTAAAAGAAGATAAAATCATCTTAATGTGCATCCCTCAAGGTGGTTTTGATTCCACCACCACTCTGCGTTTGAAAGGTCATGATGTGTCCCAGGTTTGCTGGATCTTGATGGTCTTTGGATTGGTGGAGTGCTAGAAAACCTACTTTTTAACATAGAATTTGGGGCTTGGAGCAACCTGCTCTAGTGGAAGGTGCCCCTGCCCATGGCAGGGGTTGAAGCTGGATGAGCTTTAAGGTCCCTTCCCACCCAAACCAGTCTGGGATTCCATGACGGTAGATTGCTCAGGTTCTAGCTTGAATGGCAAAGCCACTTCTGGAGTTGAAGAGAGACATTAACTTGGGAAGATCTACTCCTGTCTCCTTGCTTTCTGGAAAAAGACTGTAATGGACTGTCAAGTTCATGTCACTGCAAAACCCACTTGGGTTTTCCCCCCAAAAGGAACCTTTACATCTCCAGAAAGCTCAAACCTATCTAATGCATCTATCCTCACGCACTGGTTTAACAGCATCAGCAGCAAAGGAAGACATTCCCAACCAGTTTCCTGGTGATATTCAGAGCCCTGGGAGCAGAAGCAAAACCGCTGAAGCAGCAAGTCAGTTCTATCCTGCTGATCAACATCTAAGTGATGTTCACCTAAAATCACATGGGTCAGCTCCATTTCGTGGATGCACCACAGGAGTGAGGTGGACCAGATCCCTCTACAGCTACCTCCACCTCCCATGATCATCTCCAGAGACCCTGATAAAGACCTAAATAACTGCCTGGACCTCAGGAAACCTCCCTTGGACACTTTCCAGCACTCAGTGCTTCAGACACCTTTCTCCCAGCAGTTTGTTCTGATCACCAAGATTTAAGATCTAGGTTTCAATTACGCACCTCCTCTACTCCTCCTGGTGTCCAGCTCAACTCCTGCTCCGTGGTTCCTGGAGTGCACAATCATATATTGGTACAGATAGACAAGAAAGCAGTAAATTTAGGAGAAGTAATGGAAAACAGACCTGATAACTGCCCAGTGACTGCTCAGACTGGAAGAGACCGAGGCTTTTGCTTACTGCTCTGCCACACTGCCTGCAATACGAAGACAGATTAGCCCCACTCAATTGCTATTACGAAACCCAAAGGAGAGGACAGTCAAAAACCTCACTGCGGGTTTTCTCACTTAGGAGCCCTCATTTCCTTTCCCAGTGAAGCCACAGCAAAACTGATCACTCTGCAGGAACTGCAGCAGGACCACCAGAAACACTGCTCAGAAAAGCCTGAGGAAGGGACTTGGAGGGAGGCTGTGGGCCTGGGATAATAAATGCAAGGCAAAGATATAACTCATTTAAAAGGAACAGAAGACAAAGCTGATCCTGGCTGGTTGCTATGGCATGTACAAGTGGTCCAGCATTTGACCTCTTCAAACTGAAAGGCAGCTGCTTCCCAGCATCAGACGGATATGGAGCTGTTAGAACAAGCCCAGAGGAGGCCACGAGGATGATCAGGGGCTGGAGCAGCTCCAGAATGGAGACACTGGGGCTGTTCAGGCTGGAGAAGAGAAGCTGCGTGGAGACCTCAGAGCAGCTTCCAGTGTCTGAAGGGGGCTACAAGGGTGCTGGAGAGGGACTCTGCATCAGGGACTGTAGCAACAGGACAAGGGGTGATGGGTTCAAACTGAAACAGGGGAAGTTCAGGTTGGATCTAAGGCAGAAGCTCTTCCCTGTGAGGGTGCTGAGGCGCTGGCACAGGGTGCCCAGAGAAGCTGTGGCTGCCCCATCCCTGGCAGTGTTCAAGGCCAGGTTGGACACAGGGGCTTGGAGCAACCTGCTCTAGTGGAAGGGGCCCCTGCCAATGTAACTGGATGAGCATTATGGTCCCTTCCAACCCAAACCACTCTGGGGTTCTATGATTCTATGCTCTGCTTCACATTATTGGACCCACCGATGAAATTCAGGGTCAAATCCAACCTCCCCTATCATGCAGGAGGTCAAACTAGATGACAGCAACATCAGGTTTAAGAAGAGATTATTTACATCATAAACCAGCTAAAACTACAGCCCCATTACAAAGCAGCCCATGGTTGGGTAGCTTAAAGCAACACCACACCAAGGGCTGACACTCCTTCCCCTTTCATGTGTGTTCCTGGTGTTCCCTTCTCCCCTTTGCACTGCAAGAGTGCTTAACCAGCATCCTCAAGGGATTTCTTTTTCCTCTACAACAGGAATTACACTCTAAGCAGACAACCCCAACTCAGCAGAACCCCCCTAGTTCCTATCCAGGGTGAGGAGGAGACTCCAGCTCCAAGGGAGTGGGTTTATGATGGGAAGTGAAACCCAAAACCCCCGAACAACTGGAGCACATTATTCCTTTAAACTACAGGAATAATTCCATTACTCCTTTAAACTAAAACAAGGATTTTTTAGCCTGAAAATTCACCCTGATTCACACAGCTTTGCATGGTCAGTGGCAATGGCAAAGCCTCAGCTCATCTGCACTGCCCCGGAGCATCCACCACAGCCACACATGAAGGCTGGAAAAGGGGGAAGTGATGACGTCCCAGTGTAAAAGATCAAGGAATACACACTGGATACGCAGGCTTTGGGATTTCAGGATGGCAACATCACAGCATGACAGCCACAACTCTTTTTCCTGCAGGTAAGAGCAGCTCAAGAGCTCACCTCCTGCTGTCCAGCTGCGAAGGGCATGGAACCAGCACATGGGTCTGGAAAGGGTTTGGCCAAATATTCCATTCCCTGCCTTGAAACACCAGGAAAATTGAAACTTGAAGGCTTCCCATGCACTGCTGCAGAGAGGGAATGAGTTTCTGGATGCTAAAGGCTATATCCTTGCCATGAAGACACTTAGGAAAGAGGAGGAGGGCTGGATGAGAAGCATGTGTGCTTTACTAAATGATTTGGGATATGCCACTAAAGCAGCAAGGATTAAGGATATGACTTGATGCACCCGGATAAGGAAGCCATAGAGCACAGGACAGCTTTTCTGGGAAGCCACCAGGCAGGAATCGAGCTGCTCCAATCCTCCTGCAGCTCCTGACTGCTGAACTCACCAATCACTGTCCTCAGAGCCACAGAATCAGACCCAAGGTCCCTTTCCGAGGGAAGAAACCAGGAAAAGCTGCTGGAATGGTTATGTGTGAATCCCTAAATTTGAAACAGACGCTTCCAGAGCAGCTCAAACCCAACCAGGGTCTCATTCCCAGCTTGCAGGCCAGCTCTGCAGCAAAGCACATGCAGATGTTGAGAGACAGAGGAAAATCTGGGACCTTCCTTTGCATCCTGTTTGAATTAGGAGGGAATGCAGCTATGCCATACAACTGGAAAACTTTCTCCTTTGGAGTTGACTTTTTCCTTTCCAGCTCATTTTGAACTCGCTCCTCAAGACTTGGCAGATTCCAGGGAAAGCAGGGGTCCTGAAGACAAAATCAGTGGGATTCCTTTACAGTTTTAAGCACAGTTTATAATACACAAGCAACTTTTCCTTGAGGGAAATACGGGACATTATGGATAATCCATGGAATGTGAACTTCACGCCTGGCTGAGCATCAAGAATCAAACAGCTGATTCTGCCTGGAATCCCACAAAAACTGGGATTCTGGGGATGGCAGCCGCTACCACAACTGCCTCAGTCATCCCTAAACCAAGTAATCCTGGCTCTTGGGAGAACCCACGAGCACCCATTTCACAACATTCCAGCCAAAACCCTCCTGCAAGCCCCAAGCCTTGGGAAAAGGCACTTTTTTGTGCCTCCGGCTGATTGCACTGATGAAGATCCTCACGGTGAGGATCTGGGATATGGAACAGCACGATGGGAACAGGGTGCTGGACACAACCAACAGCTGCTCTTCACCCAGTAAGGTGTAAGACTTCTCACAACCTGCTCAGCATCACCTGAAGCACCAACAGCTGCAGAGCCTGTGACCAGAATTGGAGAAGGGATCCTCTACAGTTGCTGCATAAGATCCCACCACAACCCCAAACCCATCAGTCCTCTTTGTTAGAAGTGGGATGCTCCCAAGCCTTTCCCTTTTCCCCAGGGAATGATGCAACTGGAAGGATCGTCTTTAGAACCTGCCACCAGAGGACACGCAGCCCATGGGGCTGTTAGAGGAAAGGTTTCATTACTAGAGAGGTTCAGAGCCTGCAGCACACTCCGGTGTGAGCCACTGGAAGATGCTGTATCCTGTAAGGCAATTCCAAAGCTAAGGAGGGAGCCAAGAGAGCAACCAGAGCCCAAGCCAGCCCTCATTACTGGGGTAACTGGGAGTCCCCTTTTCCCATGGGAAGCAATTGCCACCTTCTTGGGAACCCGAGACACTCAGGACAACCACGGTGATGCGGTGCCCCAAAATCCCAGGGGAAAGGATACTGCTGGGAATGCTTGTCCAAGGGGATGGGAATGGTTGGGACACCATCCTCTCCCCAGCTCAGGACTCCACAGCCAATCCATGTGGGAAGAAATCCAAAGGACGCAGCACCCGGCTCTGAAAGATGCTGCTGGGTGCAAGGGCTGAACCCCCAGGATGTGGCTCCAGGCAGAGAGATGCCAACTGGGTGCTGCAGGGAGCTGATCCCATGGGACACAGTGCCCCCATCCCAGTGCCAGAGGCGGGGCTGAGCCCATGGGATGCCCACAACCGGGATCACAGGATACCCTGGAAAACTGCCTGAGCGAGGAGATCGTGACGGGGCGATCCCAAGGGATGG